AGGACAATTTATACATTTATTCCGGTTAATAATGTAAATATCCAATGCCAAATGATTTCTCAGTGAACATGTTGGTTTCGGTTATCATTATCTTTACCTTACGTGCATAGCATCAGCGTTCGCTTATTCATCCTCAGACCCGTACAAAAGAATAAGTAAGGACGAAGTGGCATAATTTTAAACCTACTAATTGAATGAGGGAAGAGGATTCAGAGATAGGAGAGGGAATTAGGCCTCTGCCAAAGAGTCATGTCTCTGATGCGTCGACTTAAAGCGACTTTACTGCAAGTGAGAACGAACGTATTAGATTCATCTTGGTTCAGGAGTGCCATAAAGCCTTTCTTCACGCTTTATACGGGCTCGGGATTTGCTTTACTATGGCACGTCCGCGGTGGCGCAGAAATATGGAGTGTCTTGCTATAGATGACTCAAAACACTTGGCTAACGTTGAACAGGTGGCCACTGTCAACTGAGTAAGTCAGGCTTACGCCAGAGATAGAGTTTCTTATGCCTAAATTTAACCGGGCCGGATTGTATTCTCACGTCCGCCTAAATAGGCATCTAGTCATTCGAACTATAAAACCTGCCCCGCAAGAATATGTAGAGGCGTCGATGCACATTGAACAGGTCTGAATTAGCCGTCTCTCTCTACTTTCGAGACAAAAAACCGAAGTACTTGAGACAATTAGTTTTATATTAGTAGCTGAATGTGTGTGTGATAACAGCTTTAAAGTCTAGAAGTCCGCTCGCACGATCCCCATGAAACGACAGTGTGAGAAATAACCCCTTCTTCTAAGCTCTCAGTAAACCCGATTTCGGGAGATACTCCTCAGTGTTTTTAAGGAAAAACTTTTCAAGAAAACCATTTTCTTCCAGTACGTTGTAGAAAGATTGTCCCCTTCGCCAAGTAAGATTCGTTGGTCAGCGGACTAAGCCTCTTTCCTGACTTCATGCGGCAAATATTAAGAAATGGTTGTGGTTCACAGTCCATGCTTGTGTAGGACATTCAGTTACATGAATTGTCCT